GTAGCGATTGTTTTCCTAAATAAAATAAACTATAATAACTACAGCACAATAGTTGTTAGCCATTGTTAGCATAAAGCAATAGTTAGGCATTGTAATGCAAAATTTTCCCTCAAAATGAAATAATGCTTTGTGAAGGATTTACATTATGCTTCTACATTATTTGCGACAACATTGAAATCACGGAAAAAAGGAACAAATTAAAATGTTATCATCATCATCATCATATCAGCCGTAGGATGTCCACTGCTGAACATAGGCCTCCCCCATTGACTTCCACTTCGACCGGTCGTTAGCAGCCTCCATCCAACTCGTCCCTGCGATCTTGGCTAGTTCGTCCGTCCACCTTGTGGGAGGCCTTCCTACGCTACGCTTGCCGTCACGTGGTCTCCACTCGAGAACCTTTTTGCCCCAACGGCCATCGGTTCTTCGAGCAAATGTTATGAAAAACTTTAATATGCAAAAAATAAGTAAAACCTGTAATTTGGTCTGAATCATTCTGTTACTGTCTACTAAATGAAACACCACTCCGCACACATATTACAACAAACGCGTGCTTTGTATAGACAATGTATAGAAATAATAGAAAAAGTTGTTTTAGATTTTATATATTAAAAGTTACGTTTCTTTTGGTGAGTAAGGTAATCGGGGCCCACTTTATTAAAAGGTGGCAACGCATCTGCAACCCTACGGGTGTTGCAATGATGTATTATGAGTTCGAAAAATGTTTCTGCTTATTTCCATGACCAAGATATATATATATACCAAGATATATAACCAAGTGTTTTCCTTTATTTTTTTAGTAAACCACTGAATCTACATTATTGCATAAAATGTATTTTCCATAAATTTTTGTTAACACAGAGACAGTTTAACTAGTATTTAATTTTTAATGATCCATTTAAATTATTGGAGAATATAAAGTTATTTGTTATAAGTTTGTATACTACGACGTTAAGGCGACAGATGTTATAAATTTTATGATTTTTCCTAATTATCATTTAAAATCTTATTTTTTTTCTTAATCAGAAATCTACCATTAGTATTCGAATTTGACGTACTACTATAGTAACGTAACGCCATAAATATAAAAGAAGCAATGGGAAATGTACAAAAATGTGAACTAAAATAACATGACTTACTTCAACAACTGTAGTTAATAATTATGTTGAAAGAAGCAACTAACTCTTGACAACCCTTTCGTCATTACGCTCAGCACCACTTTAACGAGAAAGGACTTCTCTAATTACTGCTCTGATATTCGTTCCGTACAATCATGTTTGAACTGTGAGAGTTGAAGTATGAATAAATTTAAAGACAATACTTGAGACAATGATGTTGACTTTACTTAAATTACGTACATTTGGGTACATATTTATGTGAGTGGAAAACTAATATTAAATATCTTGTGCAAAATGCACTATTATAAGTTAGTTATTTTCAAATTTTTCGTCATAAATTTCTTATCGGCTGGATAGTTTGGAGTTTGTTTTCATTGAATGCTGCAATGTCGCATAACGAGCACCTGGGACCCCATCTACATAATATCCACAAATCCCTTTTTTATCATGCTTTCGGGGCCGATCGAAATGTTTATGTACTATTTCATGCATTCGTTAAGTTTCACAACAAAATAAGTTGTATCGATATGTAACTTATGTATTTCTTTCATAAATTCTGATAAATGAAATAAAACAAGTATTAAATATACGTTAATCGGTGTAGACCGATGCGTCAAGCCAAACAGATATTTAACAGGCATAATATAATATTTATTGCATGAATGCTAATAAGAACTCATGCACATAAATATTATATAGGTCATAAAAGATCCATTCCAATACGTCTTATGGACTTTAAAGAAAGAGCCTGCTACGAATTGAAAGCATTGCTTTTGTAAGTCCTATGCATTCATGTCATGTGGCCACTTGCTAGTTTTCTATCTTATAATGATGAACAATTTGGTATGTTACTTTTAACAAGAGTTTAGTGAAAACTTGCACGCCAAAATTTTGAAAGATCATCGATCAAATAATGTTCTCCCTGAAGACCAGTTTGTTGCTTCTTTTTAAGTCCTTAACGTCTGTATAAAATTCACATAAGATAACTTTTTTGTTACCATTAAGGCTTTTGTTATGGGTATTTGTATGAAACTCTCTTTGGCCCAAGAGGTTTTTCTAGTTTCTTCAGGTCAGAGTCGCCTTCCCGAAATATTTCACTATTTGACGATGGCCGTCGATTTATTTATGTAAATTGATCATTATTTATATGAAAACAAGAGATTTAGCGATATAAATATATTTTTTTATGTGAAAAGTTGCCAAACGAGCAGACGGTTCACCTGATGGTAAGTGAATACCGCCGCCCATGGACATCTGCTAAACCCGAGGGTTACAGATGCGTCGGCAACTTTTTGAAAATTGGGCTCCGGCTACTTCACTCACCAGACGAAACGCGAAAGTATTTGTCATACTTCTACTTTAGGCTTTTTTTACGCTGGTCTTCTGTGAGGTCATGGTACTTACCCGGACGAGCCTGCCCATTCGTGCAACAGCCGAGGCTGCTGCGTGGCCCTACCACCGTGAAATCATATAAATAATGCAGTCATATAAATAATGCAGAACTTTTGCTTTATTGTGATATTTAATCACCAAACACATACAAGATACATACAACAATACATAACAAGAATAGTTTAAGTCTAAAAAAAAAAAAACAATGGTTTCATTAAATGGAATTAGTAAAGTTAAAGTAAAGTAACAGTCGGATTGGCGGACTTCAAATACCTTCGAAATATTTTTATGAGATCGAGTTCAGGTTGCTCGAGTATATGGAAGTAAAACCGAGCGCCCGGACAATAAGCTATCACGATGGAATTAATGTAATATTTATATGAAGTGGTGTAACTCTATGAATGAACTATGTGAGAATACAAACCTTTCTTATTTCTTAAGGACATACCGATAGGGTGTGTTCCTCTTCGGATAAGAATGGCAAAACATAAAAATAAAAGTTGTCATCGAAAAGGGGCGAGAAAATAACGTGAGATAATATTTTTGACTTTATTCGACAACGGACCCTTTGTGAATGGAGACAGGGATTTTCGGAGATGGTCCTATCAAACATTTATAGAGCACCTATAAAAGGGACAAGATTTTTGAACATTTTCCCAAGGTATTTTTCTCTTATTGCTGAATCGATATAAATACGCAGATGTAAGATGTTTTATTCTTAATCTTTGTAAATTACAGATGAGATAAAAACATTAAAAAGGTTATATAGTCACTGTTTCAGTAATGTAATCACTGAAAACGAGGTTTGAAAGCGACGTATGCAATTTATTGGTGAGCAAAGAAATAATTGAATTTGTACTAAAACAATATAATTAATAAATTTAATAATATAATTAATAAAATAATATAATTAATAAATAATTAAAGGATAGTTCAGAGCAGTTGGCCGGTAGGGTGAAGAGTACCACATAACGATCACCTGCGGCAATATCTACTTAAACCGGGAAAGTCATTGGACTGAACGCTTTCGTGCAATTTGCGGTTTGTCCTTAATTGTTTGGAATCAAGGATTCGCTTTTGCCTCTTCCGTAACATTATTTATTAAACCGCATCGTCTTATTCATTTTTCGTAATCTTTCTAAATTAAAATGACATAATCACATATTTTTTGTTTTACCTTAATAGTATTTAATTAATATAAGTAATAATATAAAATAATAAAATAAATTTATATCCTCCCATAATAATAATAAATATGATTTATTGAACACTTTTACATACAGTTTTAGTAGAGCCATATTTCCCAAACTAGGGTTACCCTGTATTTTAGGAGCCTATCCCAACCTTAATTAATTTACACTTTTGTGCCAATAAACATAATGACATGTTGTAAATTTGTTAAAATTAACGTAATTGTACATATATATACTTTAGATACATTTAAAAATTAAACGTTATTTAAAGAATCTAGCAAAATATTACGAATCGTCTGCAGGTTAAGCCAGTATGTCAGGCACGTTATCAAGACAAGATGGTGACAGTCGAAGTATAAACATTGTGTTTGTCTATGCTACGCTTATATTGTTAATTTAAAACGCTAAAAATTTCGCTGTAGAGTTTATCGGAAAAAGTACGAGTTACCCTTAAATTATTATTGAATAATTGAAAGTAAACAATTAATTACGAGTGCATTCAACCATTAATAAAATCATGTTGTAATCACAATTAAAAGTAAGGTAACAACATATATATTTCCCGCTGCGGGGCAAAGGTCTCCTCTGTACAGAGGGCATTAGTGAAACACGAAACTTGTTGTACTTGCCGTTTTGAAGGCACTTTCGATAACAGGTTTATAGGTGGAGATGCTCTTGTTGTTAAAAATAAATGATATACATGTTTATGTAATAATATATTTTAAGCGTGATTATAACATACAATTACATTTCAGGGGTTTTATATACACATGAATATACAACTATTTTAATTTTTTGTATATGCCGACATGGTCACTATTTATACGTACAGTATTTATAACATTTCAGGATTATAAAGGAATAAGATGTGTTCTTTTGTTCTCATTAAAATTCATTATCCATATTATTAAAGAATTATAAAATAAGAAAATAAGACAAGTGTATTTATAATAATTTCTTATTATTAGGTTTACTGTAAATACATTGAATGAAACTCTTCGTAGGTTAATGCGTTCAGATTGACTGCAAACTATTGGATTTCCATTGCAGCCTCCATGGTCCCTGTACTATTTCACGCTTGTCCGCTAACATTCGAAGGTGGTCGTTAAATTAGTATAATTCCATAATAAATATTATTATTTAAGCCACAGGACGCCACGATATCTCTTCAAAACCATTAGGCACTTCTAGGAAGTATTATATTAATAATATTTCTTTTATTCAATTTATGTTTATATATGTGTATATATATGTATCATATCATTATCAAATGAAAATATATTTCAGATATGCATCATCGACATAGTTCTCTGTCATTTTCTGGAATAGAGCATATCGCATCTGGGGCTGCTAAAAAAAGTTTTCCAGAGGCACATGCACATAGTTGATATACTTTGTTCGCTCTATTATATTTTTGGGCATTAATTGAGGTATTTGCTATTTTTAGGTTCTCGATAACTATGTTCGGTGCATCGATCTTTATCTGAAAATGAAGGTGATGTACAAAATTAAGTTCAAATACCTATGCTTAAAAACAAGCCCGATAATACAAGCGATAAGCTTAGTTTGATGCAGTCGCCCACAAAATGCAATATTATAAAATCAATATGTACAGTCATCATTTGTAATATAATAGAAGTATATTATGGAAAATAAACAATGAAGAAAGATTCTTTCTTCTGTCCTTATTCCACCTAGGTGGGGGTCGGCAGAACATGTTGCTGATGGTATTGGCTACGTTTTTTTAGACCCACCGCCTACCTGCCGTAAGTCTTCCTTGTCAATAAATACCCAGATCCGGAACAATAATGTCTGGCGCCACCAACCTCTTATCCCATGTGGAAATCGAACTCAAATAGAATTGCCTAGATGGCCAAACGCATCGGAGAAGTACGGCGGCGTTGTAAAGACAAGCATGAGAGAATGAGCGCTTGCCCGTTTATTGTCTTCTTCCACAAAATAAATTAATCATCTAAAAGTCAATATGCTAAATGTGGAAAAAAGCTGTTACTTACGGCTCCAACGATGGAGTCTAGATTAATGTCACTATGCGATGTTATTTCGATACTTCCCGCTCTGCTTTCTAAGTAAATGGATTGTGGTGCTCTTAAATCTAAACGTCGAGTTAGGGATTCCAATCTGTAAGGAATGCAAAAAAAATATAAGCTAAAATAAAGCTATACTATTAGTAAAAAAAGTACATTTTTGGAAACAAAAAATAACTTCGGCATACGTTTTCCATTAGATTTTGACGAATTCCCTGAAGTCCAAGGTCCATTATCAATGTAATTAATATGGGACCACATGGAAGCGAAACCAAATCCAACACAAAAATAATTTTTTGAATCGGTTCCTAAATGACGGAGTTCTGAGGTAATACACATTAAAAGAAATTACAAGCGAATTGTGAATATGCCACCTTTTTTGAAGTCTGTTGGCGATGACAAATACGCTTGGGTCATATAGCAGGATAATTATTTCGACTTCCCAGACTCAAAATACTGAGGCCAATAACGGACAGCAGCTTTAAAGGTGTGAGTCATCTGGAAAGACTGTGGTTACCAACCCGCTCATCTTTGTACTATGGCAGCACACCGGAAGATAAGGATATTGTCTTTCCTCGGATGCTTATGGGGCCTATTTTCTGCGTTGATACGAGCCGTGGAACATCCTGCTATCTCTATTAACGTGCAAAGAGGGCATTGAAAGGTTTTAGAGGATTGGAATCCCACATAATCCTAGCCTAATAAAAATCTTCCTCTGAAGAGACAGAATCACAGCGTCGAATATATAAACAGCCTTGTGAAAACGTTCTGTCAAAAACAGCTATAAGAAATTTAGTAAATGTTACAATAAACATGTAACATTTAATAAATTTAAATTTAGTGAGCCGTGATAGCTCAGTGTCCGGGCGCTCGCCTTTAATTCAATATACTCGAGCAACCTGAGTTTGATCCCCGGTGCCGGCACCAATGAAGTTTTTAACTTTAAGTGCTGACTTATCACGTGCTCCGCGGTGAAGGAAAACATCTTGAGGAAACCTGCATATTTTCGAAATAATAACAAAAAAATATATATATATTTCGAAAATATGTGAAGTCCGCCAATCCGCAGTGGGGCCCCGTGGTGGACCATGCCCTGATACCCTCTGTATAGAGAAGGCCTTTGTCCAGCAGTGGGACATGATTAGGCTGTTACTTTACTTTACTTTACTTTATTTAATAAATTTATTTAGCCTCGAAGACATGAATAGCACATGTTTTATTATCGTTTTCGTTAATTTACTTTGAAATTAAAGTTGCCTGTTGCATAAACGGAGTATATACACCGATGATGATTTTCTAACTTTTACCTATAGATACCATACAATACGCGTGACGTGTCTCATTCAGATTCGAATAAGCTAAAAGGACGACGATGATGATGATGACGTAATCTCATAACTTTAGTTAATTCACTCATGAACTCTTTACAAACGTTAACAATTCTGCATAATGCAATCAATATTTATTTCAATACCAAATTCGTTTATAACATGGAACATAAATATAAAATGATCCGTTGAATTGTTGGTCTAGTATTCAAAACAGATATCATAACGCTTTATTTAGTCTGTTAGAATTATTCGTAAATAGATCCGAAGTACTCGATTTTCTTGAGCTTGAGCCGTATACAAACCTTATGAATAACTTTGTATTGTATTTTTTTACTATTGAGTTAGGTAAGCAGATGTTGTGGATAACTTATAAATATATTATATACAACAATTACTGCTGATGCGGACGACAAAATTATTATTTTCGTAAGTACAAGTATAGACTATACAACAAATTGTACATGATCGCAAATGGTTGTGTTGAGGTGACGTAATTGTTTATTGTGGATATCTTTAAACCATCACCCACTTGGCAGCCACTTTCATGAAGACAAGAACAGTTCGACTATTGTTATGCGGTGAAACATGTGTCTTGTTCTCTTAATGTTGATATAAAGTTAGAGGTGGCGTTTTCGTACTTCAACTGGTAAAGTGAACGCAAAGCCTACATCTCAGTTCAGTTATTTGCCCTTCGTTCATAATAATGGATTATGGTAAAAGATTCTGCTTCTCCATGATTTTAGCAAATACTTATATTTAAAGGTAAAAATAAAACAGTTATTACTAAAATTTATATTGGTTGATGTAGTTTGACGGTGTTTGCCAAAAAGCAAATGTATTATTAAAAAGAATTTTGATTATCTGTAAATATTCCAGTGGTTGTAACAATCTATTGTTTTTGGCGAACAATGTAAATCTACTCATATTGAAAAATAAAATAAAACCGTTTAAAGTCGCATATACGAAAAAGCCGTGTAACAACTCAATATTTTAGCAGTGGGTAAAAGTCAACTTCATTTTGCGTATCAGAAAGACTTACTGCAATTTGGAGCTAGGCGGCGCTCGAACAAGTGGTGCTTGGATTGCACTATTCACGGTGAGGCCTCCTTCAGCATTGACGGCAAATGCGTCTGCAAATACACGTACTTCTTCACGCGACGCGTGGAAGACGCTCCCACCTTTAGAGTCGTGCACTTCGAATTTTCTTCCGCTATATTCTATGCTATCTCTCTCTGTGTATCAAATAAAATGGTTTTCATTTCGTATCAATGTATTTTAATTAGTCATTAGTACGGAATTGCTTATGCTAACTATTTTTAAAGTCTCAATGTAACTTTGAGATGAAGAGAATTCCTCTTTGCTTTTATGTATATAGTAATAGTACTTGAACATGAAGTTGTAGATTTCGATACGAAAACTTTACTGTTTGTTATTAATATTTCGAACTTTGCACTCACTTATTAACATTTTCGCGAATTCCGCGTGATTTGGTTCTGAGACGAGGACAGTAAAATTGCGGAATGAGTGCAGTGTGATAGGCTGAGCGAGTTGTGACGCTATCGTTGAAACGACTAGGTTACCCACTATCCATGCTTGTCCCTCAAGTTGGATTCCATCTTTTATAATTTTAATGGGACCTATGCCTTTCTGAAATCAAAAATTATTATTAAAGCCATACAATACAATTTAAGATTTTTTACTTAAAATTATAAACAATATAAGCATAAAATACAATAATAAATATGTACTATTTATTTGTTCTTTTGATTCTTTTCTTTAGCTTACCATACTTAAACGTAATGCGCTGACAATCCATAGTGTTAACGCGATATTCAAAAAAATTAACACCATTAACAAAATCAAAATTCCATACAGGGTAGTTCTTTTCCAGCCTTTGGTAATTATTTCAGGTAGACATTTAGTCGCCTTTGGTCGGTCGTTTGATACGGCTGAAGTGGGGGGTGGATCACCAGTGGGAGTGAAGCCCCAGCCGTGTATGGTGCCAGTATTCTCTTCTGCCTCCTCTCCGCTCATCGTGTGAAACCGCTACCTTTACCAGCAGATAATCTAAGATCCTGTAACGAAGAATTACCTACAGCCAATGTCAATCGTAGGTAATGGAATGTTGATGTAACTTAGTGAATGGATATTGATTTGCCGTAAATATTAAGCAATTGTGATTTATTTTACATGTACATGTTTCATTAAAACGTTTATTTAGTACAGAGGACATTGACAATTAAATAATTTTACGTTTTACCATACTGTTACTTTTTTGATTGACATAGACGTAGACATAAACTTTATTTTGACAAGCAACAAACATTAATTACGGGTTGCGCAGCGGAGGATCTTAAAAAATGATTTAATATAAAATAGTATTTAATAAAGTTTCTACAAAAGTTCTTAATACTAATACTTAAGAAACTAAGGGGTGTCCAATCGGTCCGAAGTTAGGCTGACGAAAGGCGCCGCGCTTTGCCGGTGGTCGGTTTTATTTAATAAAGCACCGGTAACACATTCAAAAATAAATGACATGAATATAACAAATTGAAAAATAAAAACAAAACATCGTTTCAACAAAAAACAAGTAAAAAAATATAAGTACACAAAGTTACAAATATAAAAATTACTAATAAAGAAACAAAAAAGACAGAAATCTTTGAGGGGAAAAAATGTTAAGTGTATATGTAATAAGGAATGTAGTGCTGGGAGTTTATGTCAAAAATGGAGATACGTGTCTTTGTTTTTATTGGTTTACTTTTTCATTTAACAAATATTATGAGGTGATTTTTTTATTTATAAGACTGATATATTCCACATATACCCCGTGAATATCTTGTTCATGTTAAATGAACCGTATAATAATATTAATATTAATATATGATGAATTTAATAGCTCAAATTCAAATACTTGGTTCAATTTTCCTTCAAGTAAAATCTTCAATTGTTTTAGTAATAAATATCACAACTTGTAGAATAATTGTGATATTGAGCTGTAATATTAATATATTTAGTTAATCTTAATTATTCGATAAAATTGATGGCAAGTGACTACACCCCAGGGACACTCGCAATAAACAGAGATGTTGCAGGTAGTTTATATTTACTTTAGTGCCGTGATAGTTCAGGCGTTCGCTTTTAATTTAATATTCTTGAGCAACCAGGGTTCAATTCTGGGTGTTAGCACCAGTAGCGGTGGAGGAAACCATCGTGAGGAAATCTGCATATTTTTTAAATAGTACAACGATATGGTACTGAAGTTTTACGTAATAGAACTATTTATATAATAAAAATGTTTATTATAAGCCGAGTATGATAAACTTTATGTGTCATTTTCTTTGTGAACCTTCCCTCTTATATAGGAATAATTAGTGAAGTCGAATGCATTCGATGAATTCTCTAATTAAACCGTTCAAATATTCATCACCATACGTGAACCTGTAACAAAAACTCAGAGACGGGGAAATAGCGGGTAAAATCCGGTATAGCGTAGCTGCTAATGAACACTACCAAGCAAGCACTAATGAATATAATACGAGCTTTTAAAAAAACGCCACTTAACTCTAGCAAATACCGGTAATAATATTACCGCATTTAAGCAACTTCTTTAGTTACCCATTTAACTACCACTCACTATAAGCAAGAAGACATTAATGCACTTTTGAAACTAACTTAAGAATTCTCCCTCATTGCTATTGAACGTATTTTTTAATATTTCTTGACCTGGCTTGGCTTTTTTTCAATGATGTAAATTTGTAAAATGGTGGCTATCTGGTAGAGCAAAGCATATTTCAAAAATAGTTTCCAATTCATTAATTAATTCTGACTGGAACAACGATATCCACTCAATTACTATTTTCGTTCCATGCAGTGGTTACCGTTAATGTAATGTCATTTTATTTCGAGCTTTGATGTAAAATAATATCGGGACTTTTCAAATCATGATCCCAATTAAGAAAAGAAGGAAAACAATAACAATAACCTGAAAATATAAAAGTTTTTAAATACCTTACGAATTCAAAATGTTTCATGATTAAAGTAGTTAGTTACCATATGAATTTTGTATTTTATACCCATTCCATCTATAAGAAAATATTTCTAACGTCGACAGTATACATATATTTATTAAATAATGACTGAAAATCTAATGAATGAACTAATACGTTTATAAGTATTTTCAGTTTTCATTTTAATATACATATGAAGTTGAAGAGTATTTAATTTAATTATTATAAGGAATTAAAACTGACCACAAGTCATTTGAAAGCCGTGACATGGACTTTTAAAGGTACAATATTTCTCTAGACCTGTCAACGTCACAGGTCTTTTGTCTCTAGGACTCTCCACGTTGATACAATAGGCAGCTTGCTAAAGCTTTAACCGTAGTATCTTTATATATCTTTTACGCTTCGCGCTCTTTTTCATTAAAAATTGTATTTCGTAAAGAGTACAATTGTTCTCATAAAAATGTTTTACAGATTCACTTTCGATTTACGTTCATTAAATTAAGAATCTATGGTGAATTCGCATTGTCAAGATGTAACGTTTAAGAGAATGTTTATGAACACGTGAGTGAATGTAAAAAAGAAATTGGGGCACGGAATTTAATCCGGTCCCAACAGCTTGCTATTGTTTTTAATAAAGGATGTAAGTAAACTAAACAAAACGAATAAACATACTGTATACCATTCTATTTTCAAATCTATGGTAAGCGAATTTATTTACAATGCTATATGGTAGTACTTACTTAAAATAGGCATGTTGTTAATATCGAAATTACCGTGCGAAAGTCACACATGTTAATAAAAAAAAAAGACGAATGAAGCAAATATACTCGAAACAATATCAAGTGTCGATGGTAGCGTATTATCTATCGTATTTTAAAGGCTTTGTTCGACAGTGCAGGCGGCTGCACCGTGTGAATTCTCAGCCCGAGACTAGATAAATTCATAGGTGCTGGAAACAACACTCGAAATATCTGGCGTGGAGCGAGGTAAGGCGGGCGTGCTCCAGAATATAATATCAGGCAGTGGAGTGGCCGCGACTCCCGCGGCGCCCTCACGCCTCGGCCTGCCCTCGTAATAAACGATATAGTGCGAAAATAGAACCGGAGCGGATATCGCTGCGCTTTCCGTGTAAATAAAACCGCCGCCGCCACCGACATTCCCGACTTTCTGTGCGATCGTTTTCGGTTTGTACACGTCGACGCTATCGATTCCCCCATTCAAACGAACTGTCCTATTTAAACATCGAATACCATTTACGGCATAACCACAGAACAATGTAAAGCACTCGCTAGAAATTTAATTAAAATCTTCACGATCCATACAAAACAAATGAACACGAATGACTTAAATAAAGCGAAAAAATTTTACTAACTCATGTATTCTCCCCGCTTACCGGCGCCACGTCGAGGCAGTCACAGAGCACTAATTCGGTATAAATTAAATTTTCATTTTATGCAGTCACTGCCGGCGCAAGTTTTTCACCGCTTGAAGTGAAGCCATTGTGAGTCCTCTCAGCTCGAGCGTCACAACAACACTGGCGGCGGCGTGCGCGAGAGACGCCAATGCCGATTTCATCTCGTTTTGAAGCGCTGCATTTTTAATCGGGCGCCTGTCTCGCGCGGGACATAACTCTGATACGCTCTGGATACAGCTGCTCCCTCTTTATTATGAATTCTAGTTAACGTTATCATTAACTGAGGGCTTCATATAATTTCGTTAATAATTTATCTGGACGCGACCGTGTCAACGCAAGACGCGTGGACGATGTTAGATGCCTTTCGCACAGTGTAGTATAAGGTTTTACAGTTTCTTATAAATCTGTCTTGGATATTTTCATAGTAATATGAAAATTATAGTGCGATTAGTTCTGAAGGAACCAAATATTTGGAAAAAATATGTTAACGATGCCTTTATAATTTTAATATCTTTAGTGCTATTTAGTTAAAAATCTATACTATAATTACATAGTATAAAACAAACTCGTCTCGCTGTCTGTCTATCCCTATGTATACTTAGATCTTTAAAACTACGCAACGGATTTTGATGCAGTTTTTTTTAACTAGTTAGAGTGATTCAAGAGGAAGGTTCGCTAGTAATTGTACATTTGGTTGTATCGGTCAAGAAAATGTAAGTCATGTCGTTCATTCGGGCTCATTTGCATTATACAAGCTGTGGTGGAAGCGTTCCAGAAACTATCATTTCACCAGGTCTCCAGGGCGTCACGAAGACGACCTAAGGCGTAAATAAATAATACCTGCGGCTTCTACCTCGCCATTTTAAAGCCCTTCAAAGGAACTTCATTTAAATTGGTGACATGTGTAAAGCACAAAAATGCAGATGTTCTCTAACATTAAAAGAAATGTAAGCCGTCAAGTCTTAAATTTCTGACGGACTTAAGTAATCTCAAGCGTGGTAACTCCGGCAGCGTACAAGGAAACAAAAGTGGGTCAGTGACGTGAGAAGCCCAAAGCCGAAATTGGATTCGAACCCGTGACCTCTCATCGTGAGGTGACTTTATTTACTTAAGGTCATTACAGTCTGCCACCTCTCTATATATGAGTTTTAGAGATTCACTTTATTACATATTGTTTATGGTAGTGTCTTGCATTAATCGATGCCGTGGTAATCGCTAGTAAATATTGTGAAAACCACCACTTTGAAAGTTATTAAGGTATTCAATTATTTTTTTTGTAAATAAAATAATTGGATCGCTGGAAGTCAAAACACTACAATTAATTTTACAAGGATATTGATCATGTTCGTTATGACGATAGGTGACACTCGTCGGGTTAAATATTATAAATGTGTGCTGCATTGCATGCTTTACAGTAAAAAAAGTTCATAAGTTATGACAACGAACTGGTTTAATCCCTAAGTCATTGGGTGTTTTATAGAAGACTAGCTTTTCGCCCGCGGCTTCACTCGCGTTGAAGCACTAAAATAAATATCTTTCTTTAATGTTTAAACCTTTTACAACACTTTTTTCCAATAAGAAAAGAGTCTACGTCTTTTCTCAGGCTCTAGACTATCTGTGTACTAAATTTCATTTAAATCGGTTCAGTAATTTTGGCTTGAAAGCGAGACAGATAGACAGAGTTACTTTCGCATTTATAATGCGAAAAAAATTAGTATGGATGTGGCATGTCACTTATATAAAAAACTGGCCAGAGTTTCGCACCATTATCTATAAAAAACGACAAAAAATCATGTCTGTTTAATGGGAGCCTCCCTTAAATTTTTTTTTAATTTTTTTAATTTGTATTTGTTGTTATAGCGACAACAGAAATACATCATTTGTGAAAATTTCTATTGTCTATCACGGTTCGAGAGATACAGCCTGGTGGCAGACGAACAGACACACAGACAAACAGACAGCGGAGTCTTAGTAATAGAGTCCCGTTTTAACCTTTGGGTACCGAACCCAAAAAACGGCAAATAATAATAGCCAACCCTGCTCATTCGAACACCAAAGGCGATTCCCAATGCGTTGCCAGCGAAGAATAGGCTTTCTTCTAGCCGGTATAATCATTCAAATGAAGTCGTCCCTTCTTATTTAAATACCGACCGAGAACGAAAATTATTAACATGATGGTCGTAAATGGTTTCCCCTTACATATGTCAGATATCGAAACAAGATTTATAACAACTGAAAAACTAATAACCTCTCAAGCGCGTGACAAATTAACTATAAAAATTTTGATACTTACTTTTGACATTTTAGGAAGGTGGCAAGTTTAAAGTTAAGTATGTCTTTATTTTCTCTTTAATTTATCAGCGTAATAAATCTAATATATCTTTTATGAAACAACATTTTCAGAAATAAAAGTATGATTTTTGGTCATAAATTAATATACATTTTTTGATAACTTTTATCAAATTTATTATTTAAAGCTGAAGCTTTTTTAATCTCAATACACTTTTTGGCATCTGTGCATAATTGAGTGACAACCGTAATTTACCCTCGCTGCCGTCGAACAGATGGTGTATGTAAAAATGAAACTAAAGTATTTAGGGCAACCAACGGTAATTTTTCAAAGGAGTTTAATAGGTGGTATAATTGTAGTAATATAAGGTACAAGTAAAACGGCATCTATGTTACGACTGTTTATTTTACACATACATTTGTACTTCGTAATTGTACACATTATCTTAGGAGGGTAGATTATCTTTACTTCCGCTAAGACTATGATATTATTTCCTAAGACTACCTACAACATCTCCCTTTCTTCAAAGTTCAAGTTACATTGTAATCACTTGTACAATGTTTACCAAATTTTGAATAATAATTATAATTAATACATTAATCAATTAATCACACTATCCTTATTCTCCCTAATGAACAATAAAAAAAAAGTATTCTGTTTTAGTTTGGAATATATAAATTATTATATTAATTATTATACAATATTATGCACCAAAGTATGTAGCTATCATTTCATCGTTTAAACAAAGTATAAGTAAATTAATTAAATTTAATTAACGATTTCTAATTTCATACAGATATCAAATTAGAATAACTGATCTTATTAGTTATAAATTGTTGACGCAAATAACGTTGACATATTGATATATTATATTGTATCTATTAGTAATAACCAAATACATAATATAAACCTATCCTAACTATCCTATTAGGAAGGCTATAATTACGAATAATATAGGGTATAAACACAATCTAACAACAACAATTACAATATTATGCAAAATATTAAACCTCCTAAAACAACTAACTACTAGCTTTTTTTTTTTGCTCTTTTAAGTAACAATTAATTTTAACTTTAATTAACCACCTCGAAGCGATCTGGCTGACGAACAACTCTCCCGCTTCTAGCGACACGTATTTGTTTTGGCGGCGAGATTTGTTCCTGTGTCTGCGCATCCCCGCTTATCCCGCGCGGCAGTATAGTTGTGTCTGTGTTTTCAAAATAATCCCAATCAATCTTTGAGTTCCGATTAATTTTATTATGATCTTTAGTTAAATCTTTAGAGTCTGAACGTGATGTTGACGGCAGAGTCATTATATGCTGCCTGTTCCGTCGCAAAACTCGACCATTTTTAGTTTCCAGCCAATATGAACGTTCACCTCGTGCTCTATCTTTTACCTTAGCCTTTTCCCATATACCGTTAGTCCGCATTCGTACTGCTTCACCCGGTTGCAGTGACTTCAATCGCTTAGTACTCTTATTATAATATTCTTTTTGCTTCTTAATATTTTTTTATCGATTTTCCTTTACTAGACGTCTGTTAACATTTTTAGGACGCAACTTGTTAAGTTGCATAGGCAATCTAGTATTAAGTCGGCGATTCATCAACAGCTGGGCAGGTGAATATTCCTCTCCTGTTAGTGGCGTAGTTCTTAAATTTAGGAGTGCCAGTTGCCAATCTTCACCCGACTCATATGCTTTAATTAATATTGACTTCACTGTTCTCACGTTTCTTTCCGCTAAGCCGTTAGACCTAGGGTAATGAGGTGAGCTAGTAACATGTTCAAAACCCCATTTTTGACTAAACATTTTAAATTCCTCAGATGTGAACTGTGTTCCATTATCAGTAACAATTTTCTTAGGTATCCCAAACCTGCTAAATACTTCCTTCATTGCTTTAATAGTAGTAATACTTTGCAAATTACTTAATAAACACACTTCTACGAATTTTGAAAAATAGTCCACAATAAGAAGATATTGCTTTCCTCTGAATTCGAAAATATCAGCGGCTAAGTTCTCCCATGGCAGTGTCGGCAGGGGATGTGGCGCGAGAGGCTCCCGCGGGTTAGCAGCACGGTGCCGCTGGCATATCTCACAGCCCTGCACTACGCCTGCGATATCTGCCGTCATGCCTGGCCACCACATTACGTCACGTGCACGACGTTGACACTTTTCAATTCTCAGATGTCCTTCGTGTATTCTACGCAACATTTCTCTGCGTAATGACAGCGGTATAACGATACGATTGTTCCTAAATAAGATCCCTTTAATCATATGTAACTCATAATGAACATTCCAATATGGTTTGACTACGTCTGAAACCTGCTTTTTATTTAAAGGCCATCCATTTTGATAATACTGCCCGAGTGCCGTTAAAATGGGATCTTTTTGTGTCTCCTCCTTAATTGTTTGCAACATTTCAGCAGATGCTTCAGCGTTTCCATAGGTCATATTTTCGTGAATCATAACTTCATTACCTAAATCATCCTTACCTTTTTGAGTAGCTGCTCTTGATAAAGTGTCCGCGATAAATAGTAGTTTTCCAGGCTTGTATTGCAAATCAACAGCATAATGCTGTAACTTTAATAACAGACGCTGAAGTCTAGCTGGAGTTTCATTCAGCGGTTTTTTAAGAATTGCTTCTAGTGGCTTATGGTCGCTTTCTACAGTAACTTTATCATGTCCATAAATATACTGATGGAATCTTGTACATCCAAAAACCACGGCGAGTAGCTCTTTCTCAATTTGAGCCCAACGTGTCTCCGTCGGTGTGAGCGTGCGCGATGCATACGCCACAGGTCGACCTTCTTGCAGAAGGCAGGCACCCAGACCATGGGCGCTTGCGTCAACTGACACTGTAACTGGTACACTTGGTGAATAATAGTTTAGAACTGGGGCCCTACTGATTTTAGACTTAAGGACATTGAAAGCTTGTTCATGTACTTTTAACCAACTAAACTCTATATTTTTATTTAATAATTCTCTTAATGGCGTTGATATCTTTGAGTAATTTGGAATAAACTTGGACAAATAATTGGTGACTCCTAGAAATCTCTCTACTCCCTTTTTGTCTGTCGTCGGTCTTGCCATTTTTAAAATTGCATCCACTCTGCTATTGTTTGGCCTAATACCGTTCCCATTGAATGTATGGCCCATGAACGTAATTTCTTTTACACTAAATACACATTTTTGTTTGTTAAATTTGACCCCGTTTTCTTTCGCCTTACACATAACCTGTGCCAGTCGTTCATCATGCTCTTTTTGGTTTTGACCCCATATCAATAAATCATCACAGAAAACTTCTACTCCTGTCATTTTAAAAATCTTGCACATTTCATTATGGAACATTTCTGGCGCACAATTAATCCCAAACGGCATTCGTAAAAATCTATATCTGCCGAAGGGCGTAGAAAAAGTACATAGCTTACTACTTTCTTCATTTAAACGCATCATATAAAAACCTTTCTTTGCATCACATTTAGAGAATACCTTAGCTCCCGATAGATTGCTAGTAATCTCTTCTAACGTAGGTAATTGAAAATGGCTCCGTTTGACCGCCTTATTTAAATTCTTAGGATCTAAGCAAATGCGCAACGACTTATCAGGCTTCTCAATAACTACAATGTTAGAAACCCAATCTGTAGGACCGTCCTCCTTTTTAATAACGCCCATCTTCACCATATTATTCAATTCAACTTTTAATCTAGGACGTAATTTTATTGGTATTTTTCTTGCACCATTTACTACCGGCGGGATGCGCGGGTCTGTTATTATATTACATACAAACGGTAAGCAACCAAGACCTTCAAAAACTTCTTCATCTATATTTATGTTGCACAATGTTAAATTATTAATTCTAGCCAAAAGTTTTAAATTAATACATGACTTTAAACTCAATAAGTTGTTGCAATTTACATTTAATACATAAATATTCTCATTACTATAATATTCTCCATGTTGCAATAAAGCATTGAAATAACCAACAACGGGTAAACTTTTTTTACTTATTTCTCGCAATACAGTATTACATTTTTTTAAATTATTTACACTAAAGCCAACCATTTTATAACACTCCAGTGACATTACCGAAGCGTCCGCACCGCTGTCCAATTTAAATTTTACTACCACACCATCAACTATAATATCAGCATACCACGATTTGTTGCCACAGTCTGAAGCCTCCTCAATAGATATATTATACATTAGTAACTCACCATTGTCTGCCTCACTGTCCTCACCGTAATCCTCATAACCCTTATCGTCAGAGCCTGCATCCTACAACTCCCGCGCAAACTTCACTCGACAACACTTTGCAAAATGTCCTATCTTTTGGCATCGATAACATTTAACTGCATACGCTCGACACCTGCCACGAACACTGTGCCACAAATTACACTTATCGCATTTATTGCTATTATTAGCACGAAATCTGTTGTCAGATTGATTGCCCGCGCGTCTCCATTTCTCATCACGTTGGTCACGATAATTCTCCACCCGTCCACGTTCATAGCCACGTGTCCAGTTTGCATTTCTCGCTATACCACCTCTTTGGGCGCGCCTACCACTCGCCTGTACCACATACTCCACACAATCGCCAGCGCCTGCACTTGTTTGCCGTGTACTACAAGCCACGGCCTGCTCGCCTGCCCTTTCCGAAGCCCTGCACCATCCGCTTGCCTCTTCTAGGGTTAAAGAAGACTTTGACAACAATTTCTCTCTCATTTGTCCATCTTTGAGGCCACGAATTAATTGTGTTAATATGAGTCTATTTTTCAATGACCCAAATTCACAGTTTTTAGCTTTAATTTTCAAAAAGCCTAAGAATTTATCGAAACACTGATCATTCTGGTAACTTTCAAAAAATATATGCCTTTCGTAGTTAATATTTATTTTTGGATCGCAATGCTCGTTAAATTTTTGACATAATATTTTAAAATCATACTTTTCCGTTTCATTTATGTCTAACTCCTCATAAATATCACGACCGTGTTTTCCGATAACATGCATAAATAGTGCACACTTCTCTCTTGCTGGGGCCGTCTCTCTTCCAGAAGCGATTAGAAAATAGTCAAATGCCGATTTCCATTCCCGCCAATTTGTTGCTATGTTGCCTTCCCGAGCTAAAGGCTACGGTTGTTGTATTGAAGTATACGACAAAATCTTTATTGTTAGGCATCCTTCACAATTTTTTTTTCGTAACAACACCAAATTGTCTAATTCTCTCAATTGTAACTAAAATTGCACACCAACTGACTTTGACACTAATCTGCCACACCTGACACCATGTAGTAATATAAGGTACAAGTAAAACGGCATCTATGTTACGACTGTTTATTTTACACATACATTTGTACTTCGTAATTGTACACATTATCTTAGGAGGGTAGATTATCTTTACTTCCGCTAAGACTATGATATTATTTCCTAAGACTACCTACAACAATAATAAACTGTATAAAATGAACAGAAACAGTTCAAGTATGTTACTAATTTATAACATAATACGGATGTCGATGATCATGTATTCCAGGCTGATTTCGAACCTCGGCGACTTTTGTCCTGACTTAAGTTAGTACAGCTTGGCTGCTCATTTCAAAAGCCTTGCCGCATGTCAAGAACGTTTATTATATAATACAAAGTTTATAATATTAAGTGTATGGCCGCTGTGGGTCCTGCCTTTATTGCGTCCCGTTTTGTGACTATACCAGCACGCTGCGCTTCTCTAACTGAAAATAAAATACGTGCTGACTATGAGTCGTCTCCATTTCGGACTCACTTCAATCTCGTATTTCTCCTTTTGAGTCTTTTCAGAAGGCCCTTGTGCCTAAGGTATCCGCTATCTGTTTGGCGCTTGACATTTTGGATTTCTGAAAAGGCGATGCATTTCGCCAACCTGTCGTTTGACGTATGCAGGAGCTCGTAGACACATTACGTGATACCTGCCCAGTGTTCGGATATGCCTAGGATCACGTCACAGATGACTACAGAAAGTTTGGAAGGATACGTAAACACTTATTTTAGTGGATAGTTTAAAATCATGCAACCGGAACCCCATAGACGGTAGTTTATCATAGGCAGCGGTAGCAGCTCATAGGGGCTGCTACCGCTGCTTATGCTAACTTAAAGTCAACCCTTGGAAAATATTGCTTCCAAGATATTTAAACTATTCCGCTTG